CTTTATATCCACGTTCTTTTTATGTTAAAATTATTATGTTAATGTTATCTATTTATGTGATGCTCAGTGGTGTTATTACATTTTGTAAATCTTTTACAGTAACAATCCGGAGATTTCAGTTTATTCCAACACTGATCAGTACACACTTATAAACTACTCACCACTATAACACTTTGTGTGATGTGCGGTTCCTTAAGATTGATTTCACAATATAATATTACCACGAAGAAAAATGTTATAACAATAATTGTCGTCATAAATTCGTCCGGGTGATTGAAAACAATCAAGTGATCACGTCATTGGCGAATCGGAACTAGTTGTCGGTAGGCGCGTGAAAAGGGTTTTAGTAATTTTGGATCTACGTTTCTGTTAGAGGTGGGGTGGGTCTCTCAAGAGCAAGTAGACAACCACGCGAACATTTATACATGAATATAGTATCCTCAATTCACAGAATGAACTTTCAGTTTATGACTTGTTTCAGTTTATAGTCAACCCACGTTTTATTATTGTCAAACGTGGTATTGTAAATAGGGAGCCACGATGGTTCAGCGGGTCAGACTTTGGCTCGCTAACCCTGAGGTCCCTGGTTGATCCCTACGTTGGTCCAGAAAGTTCATCGGGATTTTCCGACATGTTCCTCCTTGTCAGTAGTTCAGGAGCGAGAGTCTGCCAAAGGACAACGTATAGTCAGTCGTTAGAATGAGACTTAATACCGAGGTCCCGTGTACATGTTGAGGTGCACGTTAATGGTCCCTTGGCAGTTGGCGTTTGATACAAGAGTAGGCCGTAGGGCCGCAAAATTACTCTCACATCACACTGTATGACACATGCCCGTGTTCATTAGCCCAGTTGGAGTGAACAGTAGGACGTAAAAGCCCATTTCACTTGTAATATAAATAGAGAATATGCCTATTCCCCGATATCGCATTTATATCTCTTGATGAAAAAATAATTAGAAATGGATTGGGAATTAACGTCCTACTTTTCTGTACAGACTGGACGAGTGAAGAACGACTGACTTCATACAGTGTGCTAACTCCTACGGGATTGGAATGCATCAATCCCTTATTGTAAATACGGTACCCAGACTACTCGGACCAAAGACCACTCGGACCAAAATAAAAAAAAACATTTTATACTTAAACATTATTAACGTAATATATCAACCACACACCGTATACTTATTTGTTTTAGCCTCGTGAAAAGACGAAAGACAAAGCCTCCAAATGAGACTCCACTGGAACCACAAGTTAATCATGTAAATGCAGCTGTAACACCCAACAACAACGCCAACGGTCACAACAACCAAAATACGCAAGTTGGTAACCAGGGAATGATCTATTTAGAAAACGATCTTTATAAAAGTATTGATGACGACGAGCCGGTAGGGAGAAAGGGAGGTAACCACGAAGGCATGATATATCTTGAAAATGATCTTTATATTTCAAGCAATGAAACTGATAACGTTCACCAAGATGCAGAAAACGCAGTTCCTGTTGAATATGCTGTGGTTAATAAAACCGCCAAGAAAAGTAGTTCTGGTAATGGCGCATCAGCGGGTCACACTGTTGGACCGCATGGTGACGTATACACTTTTGTACAGAAAAAATAGCTATAGAACATCAAATTGAACAAATAACCTACAAAAACGGATGGTCCATGACAGACAGAATATGCTCAAACCAATTGCATATTCAGTTATGTCTTATATAGTTAGATATGCATGTACAAACATATAAAATCAAAACCACGTCTTATGTGTGGTGAATTGCAGTCAGGTCCAGTCAGGATATTCTTGTATAAATGAAAAATAACAAGGAAGCCGAAGTTCACTCTTTTAAATAGAATATCTTCTGGATTCTGATAACAAAACAGTCTACAAGTGTTTTTGTTTTATTATGAATAATAACCACAAATCCAATTGTGATATTATATTGTAATATTAAATTGTATGTTTTCTACGAATTTAACAAATGTGATCAGCTCTGATATTAAAGTAGCTAAGTCTCTAACTCAATATCATCCAAAATCTTCAACATTGAAAACACAAATTATTTGTCAAATTAAATCAACATTCATGTTGTGATCTTACCGGAAAAAAGATGGGCTTTTGATATCCAATATTTAAGACAAAATAAACATTTTACCATTGGTACACGAATCGTGTACCATAATGCGCTTCAGCCCCAGTTGTATCAAGAGACTCGAGGGACGAGGCTAGACACATTGCACCAAATCAAACGGCGTATGTCGACTGGAATAACCAGACGCTAGAAATTTGCACTCGCTTGAGACTGCTGGCTTAGTTCGCCGAACATAACTGATTTGAAATTGGAGTAAAAACGGAAACCATTGAATGTAAATCAGTTTATATACATTCATATTACAGTATTATATGCGTTGCGACCCACTTTTGTCAATTTCTAGGTCTCAAATGTTAGCGATTTAGCTCCTTTAATATATTGCAAGTCTTTTTCTATGATTCACTGTTTCTTACAATATGATTCACTGTTTCTTACAAAGAGTAGCAATTTGACGGTTCCAAAACTGCGAATGGTAACTATTGAGATATCATATAAAACTAGGTCGTGACCATTGATCCATTTAGTGACTGGTGTTGTGGACGTGGCAGGTTCTACTTATTTCTATCATAGAACATCCCGAATACCACGTCTGTCTCTTTTGAGGAGTTCACATACTAAACAAATGCGGTCGTTTGAATGTTTCTGAAAGTTGCCATAATTGATTGAGCAAAATCATCTCAAGCATATCAGATCTAAATATTACAGTTGCCAGTCAATACAGGAACTATATTAATAAAGTGCTAATATCTTTAAAGGAGACAAATTATTATTATAAATTTTAAATTATATATATAATCGTGTTTTTATTTTAAAATTGTAATATTTATATACATAAAGCTATATGATTATTGTTATTATTTCATTAAATAGTCTGCGAAGAATGTTTTCAGTTGTGTATAAGGATATTTGAATGTGATAGTTTTTTAATTAGCCTCCATGTAATCACCATATGTTTGGTGCAATATAGCCCGGTTGGAGTTCACTTGTCATATCACTCCATTTCATTCATTCATTCGTTAAGTTGTCATAATTAAAGTTTATGCCACCAATCGTGACATTGAACAGTAAAATTGCGGATAATATTGATGTTCTGAGTTGAATTTCTGTGTGTGCTGACCGCGATGAACGCATGTGATTGCCTCCAGGGCGAACATCCGGGTATCTTGCGCAAATGCTTTTCAATAGCCATTTCGAATAGGGGATCAAATCATAAATCCACTTCTTCTTTGGATGTCCGCTCTTATTATTAGCTTTCAGTACGAACGGTGATTCGAGTGGAAAATCGCAGTGGTCGCTCAGTAATAAACAGTAATTTTATTCCATTAAAATGAAATGAAATGGGGCTTAACCTCCTATTGTTCTGCTCCGAACTGGGCTAACCAAGGCGGGCATACGCCATACAGTGTGCTACAGATGAGGGAAATTTTGCCGGACACCGGCACTACGGGCCTACTCTTATATCGAATTCCAACTGTCAAGGGATCTTTTACGTGCAGGGCAATGTGTACACGGGACATTGGTTTTCGTCCTTGTCAGACCCTCCGTCCTGCATCACTGACAAGGATGGAACACCCGATCACCGGGCTAGCGAGCCAGCGTCTGTATTCCATAGAATTATGACCTGTGTAAATTACAACAAAATTGGTAAATGACGCAAAATTAGTTTGACGTCACACTACTGTGTTTGACCCTATCCACATAACCCCAACAAACCAATATCATTTCTTAGGAGACGATATATATACTAAACAAAAAAATAAAACGTCAGTAAGATTTCAAAATCAGAGAAACACTTTAATCAAATCATGCTAGAAAACGACTAACTAAATGGATCAAAGCAATTTTTTGTGAACAATAAATCACAATTCCAAGGCATTACCAGGAGGTTTAGAGTCTTAACACAGTCTATACATCAGTATCTGGTGTGTCCACCGCGAATGTCAATAACAGCAGTGCAGCGTCTGTACATGAAGTGGAACAAAACAGACGATTGATGAACGCCATTGGAACCTGGCACCACACTCTCAGAAAAGCCTGGCGCAATCCATCGGCTGTGTTTGGTCTCGGTACGACGCTATTAAGTCTCCTCTGAAATTCATCCGAAAGATGTTCAATCGTCCCGGTGAACAGCACGTGCAGCATGAGTTACATGAAAATCATGGAGAACACATTACCATCTCAGAGATCAGGTTGCGTTTTTGAGAACATTTCCTGGGTTCAATTCTGTGTCTGGGAAGGAGCCTTATTGCTCAGGTCAAGTTGGAGATGTGGTCACAAATATACAATAAAAAAATTTGGCAAGTCTTATGCAATCCGTCTATTCAGAGTAACATACCACCCTGACGTTTCTTTTGCTGCTTAGTATATAACGTATACTGCCGATTTTAAAATCTTGTGCTGTAAGTCCCTTCAGATAATATTACGTGTGTCAAATAGCGCCACGTAGTATCTGTAATTTACGAACAACGTATTAGCTGTACACATCTACCCAAAATTAGTGACAAAAAGAGGCCATTGAATAGAGTAACCAATTCCTAGTTATATATTATAAATTTACCTGTTGCATTGGATATTGAACAAGTCGCCTCGCTCTACCTGTATATTATAAATATACCTGTAACAAGGAAGTGTATTATTATTGTATGCATGTCAAGCTCAACATATCGAAGAGTGTTGACTAATATTGGTTATGTTATTTCACTACTAGTTACATCTCACAAGCCTTATAGTGAACATGGCCAGCTTACAAACGGCAGTATTTAGTTTTGTCGCAACCATTATCATATTACATATTAGGATTGTGAGTAAGTATGAATTCAAGCGTACTTCGAGAATACTGGTGTATGCATATTTAATAGTAAAATGTTAACTGTGTGATGATATGAATTCGCGTACTTATATGTATAAATAACACGTATGGGTAGCATGGTCAGGTTGAGTTTTGTCGCGGCTATAGTAATATTACATATTGATGCTGTGAGTAAGTATAGATTATTAATACTAGTGTATCCATATTACTGAAATTTAATAGTAAAATGTTCACTGTGTGACGGCATGAATAATGCATATAGATTATGGCTGTTTTGTAGTTTTTCTTCGTCCAAACGCGGTATATGTAATACAATAAACCAGTATATTAATTTGGTATATAGTAGTGTTCTTTGAAGTGGTTATTCCTATGTAAAACCTAAATCTACCCATTACAGTTATTGAATGGATAATACAATGCATGTGCTTGCCTGCTTGGGACGTGATATTCGAGACTAATTATGATATTTCTTGTATAAATTTCATACGTTCATATCTTCACTCAGAATAATGTAATTTGACAGAAATGTTCAATATATTCATTGTCCATTATCTAGATTTAAACTAGATATAGTATTATATCTAATTCTTACACGATGCATCTTTTTTAAAAGTAATTATCGATAATATTCAGTAATTGTTTGTTTTTATTTTCAGTCACTATGAACTGTGATAGCACGAGTAAGTAAATTTTACTAAGACGATGTTATCTTTTTTATTTGGGATAATATTAATCAAAATAAGTTCTACACGTAATAACGATTACAATACACAACTAAAATTATTCTTAATGATGATCAAGTTTTATGTTTAGATCTTTACAGGTTGTTTAATTGGGACACATTTTACAATGTGTTTCTTTTTTCAAAGTAATTGTTATATCTTCATTATCTCAGTTTCGGTAATTATGTGTAAATAATTTCTTTTAAAGGTGTGTCACCTGTACTGCCGTTTTGTAGTAACTTCGGATATACCGGAAGGTTCTTTCATTTGTCTGGTATAGATAATAGAACAAATGGTATCGGATGTAATTGTTCCATTAGTTCATTTAATCAGGATCCTGTGGAAATTGAAATAAAGAATGTTACAACTACCTCCCACCTGTGTGACTATAACTTATACTTTGTATATAGAAATAGAAGTACACGACTGTATTCGTGTGGTGGCAATTTAAATAAAGAGAGTTTTTATTTGAACCCTTGGGAAACTGTGAGATTACATATGGAGAAAGGGACTTATAATGGTGTTGGATTTCCCTTCTGTCTTCAACTAATAAGTGATCTAGGTAACTATTTCTGAATCTATTTGATTAAATCATTAAATGTTATGTTGCGGAATCGTGACTAAACGTTTCTCCAATTATATTTAGCACAATGGTCTATGAGACGTAAACCTGATCTAAGACAGGCAAAGGCTATAGATGTACCTCGGGTCCGATTTGAAATAAAACATACAACATAGCCACATATTCCGCTTTCAATTTTGTGTCACCGTTAGAAGACAAGCAAATTCCCGTACCCACCCAACTTCTGTTACCTTCATACGAGAACATTTAAAAAAATGTCGAATCTAGACTTTACTTGTCATTGAATTTAGTTGAATTCAGTCACCTCAAGTATGTTGTGACGTCCACAGCAGATTGGAATATTAAGTGATTCTCAAAATATATTTTAATTACTCTGGACAGCACATTGTCATCATGCTTTGTTTTATGAAGTTAGAGTTAGGTAGTCCATGAGAAGAACAATAACATTTGTTATAGGTAGTTTACATAACACAGCATATTTTACTTTTCTGATCTTTAAGGATCCTCAGGAATGTTGACTATGTAGTCCAGGCTGTGTTTAGTGTGCTTTAATACTATTAATAATTTTGTAGGTTCTCAGATAAGACTAAAATGTAGGACTACACCACAGACAACAACAACAACCAATACGTCACCAACAACATTACCATCCACGAAATCTCCAAGCACAAACAATTTCATGACGACAATTGATGACATCCAAAATATACCAATCTCCAGTACATGGAGAAATGAAGATATGACTGAACCACAACCAAACGATGATGATTCTGATCGATGTAAGTATATTGGTCATCTGTTGCCTATCTCATGATCGGTTTATTAAATTATACAGACAATTATCGTGCGTTATTTTTTTTATTAAAGAAGTGTACTAATAAATTAGAAAATATATTGATTATATAATTTAAAAACAAGTTTTCTTGTAATATTCCCTCTTAAATAGTTTGTTTGACCAGGATAATCATAAGTCAAGAGTCTAGACCAATAAGGTTCATCCTGGCGTTGACCGAGAAGACCCTGGCATTTATCAAACAAGGCCCCGTGTATAAATTCCATAGAAAAATGCTATTCGAAACCCACTTCACTTGGCATATATTAATGGTATGTTAGTCTCAAGACCCCATATTTAAAGTATCGACGAGACCTCTGTCACTACTCCATTTCAGGTTATAGGGGCGGGTACTTAATGAGCAAATGTGCCTAGAACGTTTTTAAGGGAATATTCCTTTAATATACAAATTATTCTTATGTGTATTTGCTTCTAATCCGGTGTTTGTATTATATTTTGAATTGTGTTTACAGTGATTGGTAAAATAATTAGATCTATCCAATATTTGTATCATATTTTCAGTGATTGGTATAATAATTGGTTCAATTCTAGCTGTTCTGGTCGGGGTAGCTTTAGTTATTATAATTGTCTGGTCAGTATACAAAACATTTAAATCTTATGTTAATGTTATTAATCAATTGAAACAACATCGAAGTGAACACACTGATCCGCAGTGAATATTTGCTAGGTCGCTACAATCACTGATAAGGATGACATCGATGCGGCTTAATGAGCCAGAAATATTAACTTTTTTCCTGCGACAAATTAAATTCTAAAATATTTTTTTTATGTATTGGAAAAATAAATAAAGGCGTTTGACGTATTTGTAGGTAAAAATTATATCCTATTTAGTGTAAATGGGTATTAAAATGACTAAAATGCAGCATTCTCTCCGAAGCAGTAACGTCTTATGTAAACAATGCACGCGCCATTCAGCCAATGAATGATGCCGCGTGCTGTGACAGCACGTGTTAAGGCAGTCATCTTTGACAGAGATATATCACTAGACTCGTAATTCTCTGTGAAACAGATTGCGAAGTGAAGTCAATGGGGCTATTGCATTTTCCAAAACGTACAGCAAGTAGCCATCAGCAACAACTTAAACAAATAGACGCATGTACCCTGTGTAACCTGGACAATCGCTTTCATAAATACATTTAAGCGGTTACTAAATAGTATGTCTGAAGTCTATTACGTCCAAGTTCGTAGGGGCGATTATCAAAATCAGGGGAAGATAACTCATCTGATAACTATTTTATAACAGTAGATATATACTCTTCAAAAAAAAGTAGGGGATATTCAGAAACAATACAAAACTGCGGAAATGCACTGCTGTTTTTATTAGAAGTAACCAGTGTATGTTAATAACAGGCCAATTGCCTACACATGAACATAAACAGTTCATATGGGAGGCTTATCTAACCCCCCATTTCACTCGCAAAGAGATACACCGTCAAAAGTGAAAATAGACGTTTTTGATTTTTGTCTTAATAATGAGTAATTGCTCCACCAATCCTCAGACATTCAGCAATTCGTCGTGGCATGCTAATAATCAACCTTCCAATCACGATTTGGAGCAATCTGACCCACTCCTCTTGCAGTGCCACGGCCAATTCTTGCAGTGTTGTTGGTTGACGTTGACGTCGACGAACACGTCTCCTGATCAAATTAAACGCAACACACTAAAGCAAAGATATGCTAAACAGTAAATCTTATGCAAAAACCGATAGGAAAGCAAACATGGATAGATAAACCAGCACGCGGCAGTTTTCATCAACCCTTCCTTGAAGTGTCAGATTTGACAATGAACCCCTCCCACGTGTATGGCGCTATTGCGTGTCGCATGTGCAGCTCAGTGGTTCTGTTGGGGCGATAAGTCTTCATCTGTGAACATACTCTCAAAGCATGTCAAATGTCCATGACTATTTATCATATCGCAGCCTGCATAGGTACATTGTATTTGCATTTCAATATCCCCTACTTTTTTTTGAAGAGTATAATATACAAAGCTAAGAAACACGCTGACAACAAAAGTCCATTAGGCCTCCGTCCACCAGTTAGTCGCAATACTCACAAGTTCTTACTAGTTTTTGCAATAATGTCGTCAGTTAAGTTTGTTTAGATATCTTATTAAATGATAATACTTGTTCGTTTTAGTTTGGTGAAAAGACGAAAGAAAGATGTCATATATGAAACGCCACGACAACCACAGCAGAGTTCACATATTTATATGGATTTACATGTTGAACCCGTTAACACTGGAACGCAACAAAACAACATTTATGTGAACAGCGTGGTGATTTAAAAAAAAAATATATATATTGACATTTAGTAGATGGGAATAATTGGGACTAAGTCTTCACCAGAAAAATTTTACAGGTTTCAACAACTTGTCACACAAAAAGTGATGTATTGCTTTTTAAATGACCCGCAAAGAATGTGTTCTTTATGACAGAAACTAATGGAATATGGTGTAATCGTGCTGATTCACAAACTATTAAACCCTATATGTACTATGTGTAAAACTGAATGGCGACTTTTCAGATGCGTTCACATGCTAGTCTAGCTAATTACCAGCTTTGTATCTACGTAATGAGCAACTAGCTAAATTACTTGTTTGTAACAATGAAAACATACGCTTGAATCTACTAATGTATTGTTAAGCTACCCACACTATAATTTACATATTAACTTGTAACGGGGATCACGTGGCTAAGTGGGTAAGACGCTGGCTCGCTAGCTTGGAGGTCGGGTGTTCGATCCCTGCATTGGCGGAGAAAGTTCATTCAGATTTTCCGACGTGGTTTCCCCTTGTCAGTGATGCAGGATAGAGGACCTGACAAAGACAGCTGTCTAGTCGTTCGGATGGGACGAAAAACCAAGGTCCCGTGTACACATTGGCGAGCACGTAAAAGATCCCCTAGTAATTGGAATTCGATATAAGGGTAGGCCGTAGCGCCGCTGTCCGGGCAAAATTTCCCTCATAGCACACTGTATGGCGTATGCCCGTCTTCATTAGCCCAGGTTTGGAGCAGAACAGTAGGAAGTTAAACCCCATTTCATTTCATTTCATATAAACCTGTAATAAAGATGAACTGTTATACATGTTGTACACGTCAGTTCATACATATTATCTCTGTCATTGTTTTCAACTTTGTTCATAAATTTGTGTACACATTACCGTGCACGTACAAGATCCCTTGACAGTTGGAATTCGATATAAAAGTAGGCAAAATTTCCCTCATAGCACACTATATGGCGTATGCCCGTCTTCATTAGCACTGTTCGGAGCAGAACAGTATGACGTTAAACCCCATTTCATTTCATTTGTTCATAAATTAAAATGTGTTTCTTTTTCGTGGTATTTCATGTGTAAATGTTATTAATTAAAATGTCTCTTCTTTATTTTATTTCAATATTTGTAATAAATTCTTTGTTTGAACCCCATTTGATTTATTGTCGTTCTTCACGAGATGCCCGAAGAAAGGCTTCCATTATGGCCAGATTTCAGTCTTGTTGGTGTCCAGACTAGTTTTCAATGGTGTCGAGAACGGGCTATCAAGTAATATCTTAAAGGGACAATAACACTCTTGCTGGCTTGAAAGCTCCAGAAAATAAATAATATCTCTATCTAAGTACTAGATGTTTAAGTGTCCTACCTGTTGTGTAAATTATCCATTACATCCTATTTTACTTGTCCAGAGGGTTCGAAAATATTTTTAAATCCAAGTTTCATTTGAAAAGGTTTACGTTAGACGTTTCAATCCATTATGTTGAATTTTTCAAAATTTTTAAATAAGGTGTGTTAAGATGAAATTTGTATCATCAATTAATTGAAATATTCTAAAATAGTACAATTTGTTGACCAGAATAAAGATTGGGACATATTATTCAGTTACAACAAGAGTGGTATTGAGACTTTAATACTGCACAGTGGCGTCAGCATGAGTCTTCTTTCAATATATTTACGTAATGTCTTAAGCACGCATAATCCAGCATGTGCATTTCAATGAAATACGTCACGTCTATAGCTGGGAACCGAAGATATCTACAAGGAACATAGGAAACAAGAATTGGGGACAAGTAGTCCGGTGTTTCATCTTTCTGAAAATTGTAAGCTATGCACAGAAGTTTGAATGTAATTCTACTTTCCACCTCAACTTCAAGACGTCTGACATTCTCAAATTATTACCCTGGTTTTCTCGAAATTAACAATTAGAGTTTTCAAACGTGGTACGAAATCTTGAGGTTTGTAAGATTCAACGAGTTTGTAGATAACCATAACATAGCATTTTTGAACTTCATGCAACGATTTTATCAATTAATACTGCTATTCTTTCAAATCTTTATTAATTCCACTACGGTAGACATTCCTTGAGGTTTAATAGGCGTACAATTGTTATTGCGATAGTAAGATTTCTTATTGTCACTTTCTATAATAACCTAAAAATAATATTATACTCAAAATAGCCTCTCATTTAGTTGGTTATTGTCCTATACCAACCCACAAATAATGTTCTACTCCAAATAGCTACTCCGTTTTGTAAGTTATTGGGTTATGAAATGAGGAAGTAAATTACGCATACCACTGGTGTGTAAAGCGTTCTCTATAAATAATACGTCGGCTTTATTAATGCATATTTTAGTAACAAGAGGTATATGGTCGCGTCAACGTTACTTTTAAACATAAATCTTAAAAAAAATGTTATATCAACTCCAATATTAGTTTAGTTAATCGCCCGTTAATACATGGTGGGGGTGGGTGAAGGGGTGACCGAATGGTTAGCGCGTGCGCGTTGCATCATAAGGTCTGTCAATAAGTCAACCGGCGTGTTTTCAATTTCCCGATTGTACGTGACAAGGAGTAGGGTCGCCTGTCCAACCCCGTGGGTTTTCTCCGGGTGCTCCGGTTTCCTCCCACAGCTAATGACCCCGCGCTAGCGAATTATTGAAATAAAGTTAACCATATGTTAGTCCCGAAATGACTTAGTTTGTGTCGAGTGGACGTTAAACCCAATTTCCCTCTTTATAACAGTGTGTTGTATCTGAAATATGCGATATCAGTGTACAACATGGGTTGTTATATGTGATTTGTGATATCGTACTAAATGTTAGTGCAGATCATTTATTTTATTCAATGATATTTGACTAGTGAATGTATTTCAAAATACAATCAAGCATGTCTTATCCTTGTCGTGTGTGTGTTAACTATCTTATGTTAACAATAAATTAAATAGACCACATTAGTGATTTATAAGCTGTGGCAATTGAATAAATTATGCGTTGCTTTGTTGGTTTTTTTTTTTGAAAGTTACACAATGGATTTCTCAATGTATTACATTTATGGTTCTTACAAATTTGCCGCAAGTTTACAACAAAAGGGGCCATTGTACAGATTTGTCAAGTAATAGATATATATTATACATGTGGTGTATAAATGTTAAGCTCAACGTATACATATTTGTGAAGTAAAGATGGTTAAACGCATTATGACTGTTTAACTCAATGTGTTACAGTAAAATGGTGATAGGAACACCGGTGAATCATGGAGAGGCCACTTACGGAAATATTTAGTTTCGTTGCGGTCATTATAATGTTACATAGTAGTGTTGTGGGTAAGTAAACATTGTCTCAAATGTACATATATATCAGTGATCTCAATCAGTGTGCTGCTGTTTTTTTTTTCAGTGGTTCCAAGGTGTGCAGTTGGTAAAAAAAAGATGGAGAACCACATATACATTTCATTGAAGAGTTAATGTATAATTTCATAGTTTATATATATAATAAATAAAGGTTAAAAATGCTTAAACATACATTATGCACGAGCTAAATCGGCCTATTGCAGGCCTGAAATGTTATTTAAATTATTAATTAAACATTTAACATATCCAGACCATAATCAACTCTCGATGGTGTATGGCGCTATTGCCTGTCGCATGTGCAGCTCAGTGGTTCTGTTGGGGCGATAAGTCTTCATCTGTGAACATACTCTCAAAGCATTTCAAATGTCCATGACTATTTGTCATATCGCAGCCTGCATAGGTACATTGTATTTGCATTTCAATATCCCCTACTTTTTTTGAAGAGTATAATATACAAAGCTAAGAAACACGCTGACAACAAAAGTCCATTAGGCTTCCGTCCACCAGTTAGTCGCAATACTCACAAGTTCTTACTAGTTTTTGCAATAATGTCGTCAGTTAAGTTTGTTTAGATATCTTATTAAATGATAATACTTGTTCGTTTTAGTTTGGTGAAAAGACGAAAGAAAGATGTCATATATGAAACGCCACGACAACCACAGCAGAGTTCACATATTTATATGGATTTACATGTTGAACCCGTTAACACTGGAACGCAACAAAACAACATTTATGTGAACAGCGTGGTGATTTAAAAAAATATATATATATTGACATTTAGTAGATGGGAATAATTGGGACTAAGTCTTCACCAGAAAAATTTTACAGGTTTCAACAACTTGTCACACAAAAAGTGATGTATTGCTTTTTAAATGACCCGCAAAGCATGTGTTCTTTATGACAGAAACTAATGGAATATGGTGTAATCGTGCTGATTCACAAACTATTAAACCCTATATGTACTATGTGTAAAACTGAATGGCGACTTTTCAGATGCGTTCACATGCTAGTCTAGCTAATTACCAGCTTTGTATCTACGTAATGAGCAACTAGCTAAATTACTTGTTTGTAACAATGAAAACATACGCTTGAATCTACTATTATAGTTAAGCTACCCACACTATAATTTACATATTAACTTGTAACGGGGATCACGTGGCTAAGTGGGTAAGACGCTGGCTCGCTAGCCTGGAGGTCGGGTGTTCGATCCCTGCATTGGCGGAGAAAGTTCATTCAGATTTTCCGACGTGGTTTCCCCTTGTCAGTGATGCAGGATGGAGGACCTGACAAAGACAGCTGTCTAGTCGTTCGGATGGGACGAAAAACCAAGGTCCCGTGTACACATTGGCGAGCACGTAAAAGATCCCCTAGTAATTGGAATTCGATATAAGGGTAGGCCGTAGCGCCGCTGTCCGGGCAAAATTTCCCTCATAGCACACTGTATGGCGTATGCCCGTCTTCATTAGCCCAGGTTTGGAGCAGAACAGTAGGACGTTAAACCCCATTTCATTTCATTTCATATAAACCTGTAATAAAGATGAACTGTTATACATGTTGTACACGTCAGTTCATACATATTATCTCTGTCATTGTTTTCAACTTTGTTCATAAATTTGTGTACACATTACCGTGCACGTACAAGATCCCTTGACAGTTGGAATTCGATATAAAAGTAGGCAAAATTTCCCTCATAGCACACTATATGGCGTATGCCCGTCTTCATTAGCACTGTTCGGAGCAGAACAGTATGACGTTAAACCCCATTTCATTTCATTTGTTCATAAATTAAAATGTGTTTCTTTTTCGTGGTATTTCATGTGTAAATGTTATTAATTAAAATGTCTCTTCTTTATTTTATTTCAATATTTGTAATAAATTCTTTGTTTGAACCCCATTTGATTTATTGTCGTTCTTCACGAGATGCCCGAAGAAAGGCTTCCATTATGGCCAGATTTCAGTCTTGTTGGTGTCCAGACTAGTTTTCAGTGGTGTCGAGAACGGGCTATCAAGTAATATCTTAAAGGGACAATAACACTCTTGCTGGCTTGAAAGCTCCAGAAAATAAATAATATCTCTATCTAAGTACTAGATGTTTAAGTGTCCTACCTGTTGTGTAAATTATCCATTACATCCTATTTTACTTGTCCAGAGGGTTCGAAAATATTTTTAAATCCAAGTTTCATTTGAAAAGGTTTACGTTAGACGTTTCAATCCATTATGTTGAATTTTTCAAAATTTTTAAATAAGGTGTGTTAAGATGAAATTTGTATCATCAATTAATTGAAATATTCTAAAATAGTACAATTTGTTGACCAGAATAAAGATTGGGACATATTATTCAGTTACAACAAGAGTGGTATTGAGACTTTAATACTGCACAGTGGCGTCAGCATGAGTCTTCTTTCAATATATTTACGTAATGTCTTAAGCACGCATAATCCAGCATGTGCATTTCAATGAAATACGTCACGTCTATAGCTGGGAACCGAAGATATCTACAATGAACATAGGAAACAAGAATTGGGGACAAGTAGTCCGGTGTTTCATCTTTCTGAAAATTGTAAGCTATGCACAGAAGTTTGAATGTAATTCTACTTTCCACCTCAACTTCAAGACGTCTGACATTCTCAAATTATTACCCTGGTTTTCTCGACATTAACAATTAGAGTTTTCAAACGTGGTACGAAATCTTGAGGTTTGTAAGATTCAACGAGTTTGTAGATAACCATAACATAGCATTTTTTAACTTCATGCAACGATTTTTATCAATTAATACTGCTATTCTTTCAAATCTT